TTTGTATTTTTAGTAGAGACGGGGTTTCACCATGTTGGCCAGGCTAGTTTCGAACTCCTGACTTCAAATGACCTACTTACCTCGGTCTCTCAAAGTGCTGGAATTACAGGTGTGAGCCACTTCATCTAGCCTATTTTCATGTTTTTTAGAGACAGGTTCATTCTACCACCCAGACTGGAGTACAGTGGCACTATCCTAGGTCACTGCAGCCCCAGGCTCCTGGGCTCAAGACATTCTTTTTAGCCTTCCAAGTAGCTGGGACTACATGCACAAGCTACCACGCCTGGCTAATGTTTCGATTTTTTGTAAAGATGAAGTTTCATTATGTTGTCCAGGCTGGTCTTGAACTCCTGGCCTCAAGCAATCCTCCCACCTCAGCCTCCCAAAGTGCAGGGACTACACTATGGTGTGGGCCACCATACTCAGCTTCACCAGTCCTTTAAATTACTCTTCAATTTTCGTGAATTAACCTGATAAAAATCCCTCAGTTATTTTTTCTTTTTATCTTATTTTGCCTGGATCTGGACTTTTCATCCTCAGCAATATATTATTCTTGCTCACCTTTCTGAAGTGTACTTTTGCTGGTATATACCTACTTTCACTGGAACCTTTTTTTTTTTTTTTTTTTTGAGACAGAGTCTCGCGGAGGCTGGAGTGCAATGGCACTGTCTCGGCTCACTGCAACCTCCTCCACCCGCGATTCAAGCGATTCTCCTGCCTCAGCCTCCCAAGTAGCTGAGATTACAGGTGCCTGCCATCACGCTGTCAGGTCTCCATATGCAAGCCTGGAGCCTGAAAGTCTGAAGTCCTGCTTGCCTTGGCTGATGTCTCCCCGCTCCCCCCTCATTCCTTCCTTCAGCCCCTCTCCCGCCCCCGCGTTCGCCATTGTCCCTAATTGCCCAGCAGCGGAGCTTCCCCAGACAAGCCCCTCACCCAACCCTGCCATCTTAACTGTTCTTATGATAATGTAAACACCTCTCACCGAACCCTGCCATTGTAACTGAACTTGTGGTCACGTATACTCGTCCTTGCCCCTAACCCCCATCACTGTAACTAAACTTACTCTGCAACACCCCTGCCCCCCAAGAAACTACCCAAACCTATAAAACCAACTCCTATCCCACTGCCCTTTGCTGATGCCCTTTTTGGCTTTAGCCCACCTGCACCCAGGTGAATAAACAGCCATGTTGCTCACACAAAGCCTGTTTCGAAGATCTCTTCATTCAAAGCGCGCGTTTTTCAACACACGGCCGGTTAATATTTGTATTTTTAGTAGAGACGGGGTTTCACCATGTTGGCCAGGCTGGTCTCGAACCCCTGACCTCAAGTAATCCACGTGCCTTTGCCTCCCAAAGTGCTGGGATAACAGGCGTGAGCCACTGCGCCTGTTGTTAAATATGGGTAAATTAAACCAACAGAAAAAGAGTTAAAAATATAAGTAAATTCTGAACACTGCACTGGCCTCTGAAAAAAAAAAGAAAAAAAAAGAATATAGGTAATTAAAAAGTAGTACAGAAGCCGGGTGCAGTGAGCCAAGATCGCGCCACTGACTCCAGCCTGGGCGACAGAGTGAGACTGCGTCTCATAAATAAATAAATAATTTTTTAAAAGGCTGGGCTTGGTGGCTCACCCCTGTAATCCCAGCACTTTGAGAAGCCGCGGCGGGCGGATCACGAGGTCAAGAGATCGAGATCATCCAGGCCAACATGGTGAAACCTCGTCTCTACTAAAAAATACAAAAAATTAGCTGGGCGTGGTGGCGCGCGCCTGTAGTTCCAGCTACTCAGGAGGCTGAGGCAGGAGAATTGCTTGAACCTGGGAGGCGAGGTTGCAGTGAGCCGAGATCGCGCCCCTGCACTCCAGCCTGGTGCCTGGTGACAGAGTGAGACTCTGTCTCAAAAAAAAAAGTACATAACTCTCGGATATGACTCCTTCTCCTTGGTGTTTTCCTCAATCTTTACTTTTAGGCTTCAATTGTCAAGATATGGCACAAAATTTTAAAAGTGTCCATTTATCCTTTGATAGTGATCAAACGCTAACCTCAAGATAGCATGGTAGCCCTCTCAGCATGGTGACACATCTGTGTCACAACCATCAGTTAAACACCTTCCGAAAATGACAGCTCCCTTGTCTCCCCACCGAGGCAGAACCAAGTAGGACCTTCCAAACATGGCGGCACAAGAGCTTTGCGTCATTTCCTGTAGTGTGTCCAATATAAGGGGCAGGATTTCCACTTTCGCTCCTTTCCGGCGGTGACGACCTACACACGAGAACATGCCTGTGAGTGCTTTGGTCCAGGTTTCGGCGGAGATCTCCCTCTTCTGTCCGCACGCTCCCCTCACGCTGATTTCGGATCGTAGAGGGTCCTCATTTGCCCTCTGCACTTCTTAGGACATTAACTCCAGGCACCGCAGCGGCCCACGGGCCACCCGCATAGACGGGAGCGGAGAGGAGATAAGATGGCGGCCCAGCTGCGCAGACACCAGGGGCGGCGCGGGGCGAGCTCTCCCCGGTGTGTGACAGTCGGGGCTGTTTTCGACCATCCCCTTTTCGCCGTTGGTTTCTAAATCTCTGCATTTCTGTCCCTCTTAGCTCGCAAAGGATCTCCTTCATCCCTCTCCAGAAGAGGAGAAGAGGAAACACAAGAAGAAACGCCTGGTGCAGAGCCCCAATTCCTACTTCATGGATGTGAAATGCCCAGGTGAGGAGACGGCTTGCTGTATTGGGGAAAGCACTGGACCTCAACACTTGGAAAAAGTTGAGTGAGCTGTGTCGTATCCGTGAAGCTGTCCGGCAGCTTCAGTTTCTTCGTCTGTGAAAAATTTTACCTGATATTCTTAAAATTAGAATATATGAAACTGGCAAAGTTTTGCATCTTAGAAGGAGTGATTCATTTCAGCGTGCTCGCCCATCACATTTCACATCCAACCCCTATCTTTTTTTGTGTTAGGAAACAGTAATGGATGACGAGTTGGGCATAAATGGCAGGAAAGATATGGGTGTAATAGAGGAAGAAAACGTTATCTGCTTTTCTTTCAGGATGCTATAAAATCACCACGGTCTTCAGCCATGCACAAACGGTAGTTTTGTGTGTTGGCTGCTCCACTGTCCTCTGCCAGCCTACAGGAGGAAAAGCAAGGCTTACAGAAGGTAAATGGTTTACTAATGTTGTGATTTGGGGACTTTTCTTTGTTTTTGTTTTTGTTTTTTGAGTTTTTGCTTTCTAGAAATGAAAACACTTCCCAGGATCTTTCAATCTTCTTTTTTTTTTTTCCTTTTTTCTTTGGATTTTTAAATCTTACAATGACAACATGTATAATGTTAATTTTCAGACAAGAAGTGTTGGATTTGATGGTTTTTTTCTTTAAGTGGATACTACCAAAAACTATATACTAATCTTAAGCACTACTGTCTAAAGCTGGGGTCAGTGGGCAGTAAAAGGGCTCAAGTTGATATGAAGTGACCCAAATGATATAAATGATTCGGTAGCTAAGACCAGAAAAATAAAGATGTAGCTTTCTACGGGTGGATCACCCGGCATCTGCTTGTTTTGTGGGGGAGGTGGGCAGAATACCTGGGCTGTCATCAGCTAATCTCTGAACCTTTTTCTTCCAGGATGTTCTTTCAGGAGGAAGCAGCACTAAAAGCACTCTGAATCAAGATGAGTGGGAAACCATCTCAATAAACACATTTTGGATAAATCCTGTTTATTGTCTTGTTTAACTTAGTTAGGCAGTTCCTGTCTCAAGTATTCAGGGGCAACCAGAAAAAGAAGATTAGAGTCAGTTCGGGGAAGTAAGTGGCCAATTACTTTAAAAATCCATTTGGGGGCATTTTATTTTATTTTATTTCATTTTTGAGATGGAGTTTCACTCTTGTTACCCAGGCTGCAGTGCAGTGGCGCGATCTTGGCTCACCACAACCTCCGCCTCCTGGGTTCAGGCAATTCTCCTGCCTCAACCTCCTGAGTAGCTGGGATTACAGGCATGCGCCACCATGCCCAGCTAATGTTTTGTATTTTTAGTAGAGACGGGGTTTCACCATGTTGACCAGGATGGTCTCGATCTCCTGACTTCATGATCCACCTGCCTCGGCCTCCCAAAGTGCTGGGATTACAGGCTTGAGCCACCGCGCCCGGCCCTGGGGGCATTTTAAACCACCTAGGCTCATTGGGTAAAAAAAAAAAAATTTTTTTTTTTTTTTTTGTAGAGACAATCTCCCTCTGTTGCTTGGCACCAGGCTGGAGTCCAGTGGTGCGATCTCAGCTGACTGCAGCCTCTGCCTCCCGGGTTTAAGCAATTCCGCTTCACCCTCTGGAGTAGTTGGGACTGCAGTCACACACCACCATGCCCAGCTATTTTTTGTATTTCAGTGGAGATGGGGTTTCACGGTGTTGGCCAGGATGGTCTCCACCTCTTGACCTCGTGATCTGGCCGCCTTGACCTACCAAAGTGCTGGGATTACAGGCAAGAGCCACCTTGCCCGGCCTGTTTTTTTTTTAAACTGGTCTTTGAACTCCTGACCTCAGGTTATCCGTGTGCCTTGGTCTCCCGAAGTTCTGAGATTATAGGCATGAGCCACCGTGCCTGGTTTTGTGTGTGTGTGTTTTGAGACAGTCTTGCTCTGTTGCCCAGGCTGGAGTGGCTCAATCTTGGCTCACTGCAACCTCTGCCTCTCGGGTTCAAGTTATTCTCCTGCCTTAGCCTCCCAAGTAGCTGGCTCTACAGGTGTACATGCCACCACACCTAGCTACTTTCTGTATTTTTAGTAGAGACAGTTTCATCATATTGGCCAAGCTGGTCTTGAACTTCTGACCTCAGGTGAACCACCCATTTCAGCTTCCCAAAGTGCTGGTGTTACAGGCATGAGCCATCTCGCCTGACCATGTATTTTTTTTTTTAAGCGAAGGGGGAAGCCGTGTATGTTTTTTTTTAACCTCAAGTTTTTTTTTAGAATTAAGAGCTGACAGTTACTTTTTACAACACAATCCAACACACCAGTTTTAAGAAACAGCTTAGGGTCCTTTATAGTTCTTAGAAGCCTTGTCTGAAAACAGTGTAGAAGTTGCTGTTTTTGTCTAGGACTAGAAATCTTCATTCCCCTACAGTTAGGAACTTGTCCAAGCAGAGGTTAGTTCCTTACACTCCATAGCCAATGTTGCAGCCGACTTTGGGCTGACGGAGGCTGTGGACTCATGAAGGGAGGGGGAGAACTTGTGTTAAGAGAACCTAGAAGTAAAGAGGGAAAGGTTGAATTAAATGTGTATATCTGAGCTTGTCAAAGATAAGGACAGGTTTTTTTACCTGGCTGTGGTGTTCCTAGAGTTGGTACATACACAACTGGAACTCTTTGTATCTTGTTTAGGAAGGCGTTGTATGCTGGAAAAAGGACAAAGGAAATGTCACAAGGCATGTCTGAGGAAGGCCTTAAAAAGGGCAAAGTCAACTCTAAGATTTAATATTGTTAAAGTAATTATTCAAAATAAGTAATAGTAATATACTATTACAGGAAGTTTTTATCCCAATTTAATCAATTTTAGAGTTTCAGCTTTTGGCTAAAAGATGTGGGGAAATGGAATGTAGACAACTGTGATGTCCTACTTAAAAAATTTTTTTAGGCTGGGTGCGGTGGCTCATGCCTGTAATCCCAGCGCTATGGGAAGCCAAGACCAGCGGATCACCTAAGGTCAGGAGTTGGAGACCAGCCTGGCCAACATGGTGAAACCCGTCACCACTGAAAATACAAAAATTAGCTGGGCATGGTGATGGGTGCCTGTAATCCCAGCTACTCCGGAGGCCAAAGCAGAATTGCTTGAAACCCGGGTAGCAGAGGTTGCAGTGAGCTGAGATCGCGCCACTGCACTGCAGCCTGGGCGACAGAGTGAGACTCCATCTCAAAATTTTTTTTTTTTTTAGTCACAGAGTGTCACTGGAGTATAGAGGCAAAATCACTGTTAACTGCAGACTTGAATTCGCTGGCTCAAGCAATCCTCCTGCCCCAGCTTCCCTAGTAGCTGGGATTGCGGGTGTGTGCCACCACATCCAGGTAATTTTTAAGCTGTTTTGTGAAGATGGAGTCTCACTGTTGCCCAGGCTGGTCTTAAATTCATAGCCTCAAGCCATCCTCCCACCTGGGCCTCCCAAAGGTCTAGGATTACAAGTGTGAGCCGTGGCACGCAGTCTGTTGGTATTACTTGAATTATCCCTAACTGAATTTCAGCAAAAGAGCTGTGAAGCCTCAAGATTTAGTAGTGGTTTCCACATCTGAGTGGTGTGTGTTTGCCAAATCCAGTTTGTTGCTTCTTGGTAGTAAATTGAGGAGGACTTTTTTTGTGTGAAACGGAGTTTTCCTGTCACCCAGGCTGAAGTGCAGTGGCACGATCTTGGCTCACCTCTGTCTCCCAGGTTCAAGCAGTTTTCCTCCCTCAGCCTCCCAAGTACCTGGGATTACAAGCTTGTGCCACCACACCTGGCTAATTATTTTTAGTAGAGACGAGGTTTCACCTTGTTGGCCAGGCTGGTGTTAAACTCCTGACCTCAGGTGATCTACCTGCCTCAGCTTCCCTAAGTGCTGGGATTACAGGTGTGAGCCACCTCGCCCAGCGGAGGAGGACCTTTAATCCACTAGGTGACTTGGATTAGGGAGGCTTAGTTTAAACTGCTTGTTAAAATTGTATGTGATAAGTAGCTAATTTTCGTCCTTAATAGTTTGTGAAATAAAATGGAGTTTCCATGTCAAAGTCCATGGTACTAAAAATAAGGACTCTTTACCTAGAAAGATGAAAGCTGTTGATGACAGCACTGCAAAGAGGGTCAAGAGCAGGATCTGGTAAGAGCTACTGAACTTCTTGACGATGCCTGAATCTTCACAATGATCTATGCATTCATTGGTGGTAACAAAACAAGATAATAGTTATTTAATAACACAACCATGGGCAGATGCTGCATTTTTTAAATTAATTTTTTTGAGATGGAGTCTGGCTTTGTTGCCAGGCTGGACACGATCTCGGCTCATGGCAACCTCTGACTGTCAGGTTCAAGCAGCCTCAGCTTCCCGAGTAGCTGGGATTACAGGCACACACCACTATACCCAGCTGATTTTTGTATTTTTAGTAGAGACAGGGTTTCACTATGTTGGCCAGGATGGTCTCGATCTCCTGACCTCATGATCTGCCTGCCTTGGTCTCCCAAAGTGCTGGGATTATGGGTGTGAACCATCACGCCCAGCTAATTTTTTATTTTTAGACAATCTTGCTCTCGCTCTGTCCCCCAGGCTCAAGAGCAGTGGCATGATCTCAGCTCACTGCAGCCTCCAGCTGCATTTTAAAATTTGACTAAAAATAGTCATTAGAGTATCTACCAGAAGTAATCAAAACCCAGCTCTCTTAGTAGAGATGGGAGCTTCAGGTGTGAACTATACTTGGTTCATCCACCTCTTTTTGACTTCTTCCTATCTCCAGAGTAATAAAACTCTCCAATTCTTGAACCTCTTATTTCTTCCTTTTAGATTACAAAGGATGCTTCATAAATCCTCTGCTATTTTAAAATGCTGGTTACCTTTCCTGTGCACTTTAACCCCAGGTAACATGCTTCCCTTCACTAAACTTGTGATAGTATGCTGATTCCATTTACAATTGTAATCTCTACCTTAAAACTTTTTTTTTTTAGACAGTCTTGCTCTTTCCCAGGCTGCAGTGCAGTGGCTGGATCTCGGCTTACTGCAACCTCTGCCTCATCCTCCCAAGTAGCTGAGACTACAGGCGCCTACCACCATGTCCAGCTAATTTGTGTATTTTTAGTAGAGGTAGGGTTTCACTACATCGGCCAGGCTCGACTTGAACTCCTGACCTTGTGATCCACCTGCCTTGGCCTCCCAAAGTGCTGGGATTACAGGCATGAGCCACTGTGCCTGGCCGAAACGTTTTTTTTTTTTAGATCATCAGTGACCTATGAAATGCAGGGTATCTTTGGGTCCTACTCAGGATGTCATTTCTTTGGAGCACTCTGATTTGCATCTAATCTTACCCTCAATAAAACTTTACGCTTTTTTTTTTTTTTTTTT